ATCCATCCATCCATCCATCCATCCATCCATCCATCCATCCATCCATCTATCTATCTAGCTAGCCAGCTAGCTAGCTATCTCTCCATCCATCTACCTTCCAATTCTACTATTCCAAGTTCTAAAGCACTTCTTAGCTCTATGACCCGTAACTAATCCCCTTCTAAGAAGTACCTCGGGTGATAACATTTGAGTGAATGAATGAATAAATAAATGACTGTTCCTCCTTGCCCTAGCAGAAGCTCTCTAGGGTTAGAATTTCCCTGTGTCTTCTACTGTCTCTCACCTACCACCCACTAGCCTTGATCTCTCTAGTGCTAGACAGACAGACAGACAGACAGGTGGGCAGGAGGACAAACAGGCAGACAGACAGACAGAAACTTACCCCCATGGATGGAGAACAGCAGGAAGAGGAGAGTGCCATGAAGGAGGGATGCCATGCTGCCAGTAGGCAGGCAGATGTCTGCAGCAGCCTTGGGGTCTTCGTGGGTACCCCTTTCTTAATCTCTCCTCTTATAGGCCCTTGTGGAGAATTCGTTGCAATTGCCCCACAGGCCTAGGGGCTGTTTGGGAGCTATTACTTCACCTATTTCCTCGGTCACTTGGATGGGGGCAGGATATAGGGACACAGGACCCTGAAGAATGGGGCAATAAAGGGATGTGGGATATAAGAACCTCAGAAGCAGCATCAGCATTCGATCTACTCTTCTACAACAGGCCAGAAAGAGAGAGGGCAAAAGAGAAGGATGAGTCAGATGGAGCAGCCCCAGGGAGTTACAATCCCAGCTCTGAGGGGTTATGATCTCAAAGGATCATAACTTTGACACCTCCTCAGAATCCTCAAATCTCAGAGCTGGAGGTGAGACCATCTCCCAGCCTGACACAGACCCTCCTCTCTAATATCCCTAGAGGTCATCCAACTTCTGCCTAAATCCCTCTGATGGCCTCTGCCGGGGAGCTCATGGCCCCAGTAGCCCTAGGGCCCCCCCAGGAGCTGGCATCAAACTCCTCCAAAGATGTTCCAGTTCCAACGGTCCCTGTCTGATGCAAGAGCAAACGGTGGCTGGGGCTGGGGGGTGTGGCACTGGGGAAGGAAGGGGGAGGTAATCTGACCAAGTTTTCAGCCTGACAGGAAGGGGTCAGGCCTGTTGTAGGAGGCAGCCTAGCTACTCATTTCTCTAGGCTGGGTCAACTCAACTTAGCTTCATGGGCCCACACAATTATCTCTAGGCTACCAGGGTTTCCAAATGTCATTTCTGTTTAGCATTGAGATACAACTAGACCCCCATACTCACAGATTCAAAGACACACACACACACACACAGAGGCTCATATACACAAAGGCACATGTGGATTTATGCTTATATAAACATATGCAAGCATGCTCATATGTCAAGCATGCACATGTTCGCTCAAGGTCAGACACACAGGTACAGACAAATCTACCCAGTTGTGTGTTTAGCTATGCATAGTCACATGCAGAGAAGTAGATGCTAATTCTCAGAGAATAGTTTATCTGAAAAAGATCTGGGGATTTTAGTGGACTGCAAGTCACAGCACTGGGACCGCAAAGGGAATCCAATAGGAATGAACAGTGTGACATGGTAGCCCAAAAAGCTGGTGCCATCTTGGACTGCATTAAGAGAAGCATGGTGTGCCCCCAAAGTTACTAAACGGTGCATGTCCTTTGACCTGGTGAGGTACCACTGGGCCTATACTCTGAAGAGATCAAGGAAAGAGGAAAACAACTCATATGTATCAAAATATTTAAAGAATATTTTTTGGTAGCATGTGGAAGAGGGAATACATTTGTTCTACTTGACTTTAAAGTACAAGCAGACACTAGAATGCCCACCCCCATCCCCAGTCTTCTTCAGACTAAATGTCCCCAGTTCCTTCAACTGGTCCTCATCTGTCACCACATTAAGGCTTTTCACTAACCTGCCCTCCTCTGGACCCTTTCCAGTTTATCCTTGTCCTCTTTTTCTGGTGTCAAAGAACAGAAAACTAAGGGGGCCTAGGAGTTACCCACCATTTGGGGAATGTTTGTACAAATTATGGTATATGAATATAGTGGAAGATTATTCTGCTGAAAGAAAAGATGAGGGGGACGGTTTCAGAGAAGCCTAGGAAGACTCATATGGACAGTTGCAGAGAGAAGTGAGCAGAACCAGGAGATTCATCGACACTATAACATCAATAATGTAAAAATAGTAACTCTGAAAGGCTTAAAAATTCTGGTCAACGCAATGATCCACCATAATCCAGAGGACTGATGGGTGATGAAGGATGTGACCCATCTCCTGAAAGAGCGATGATGGACTGAAGGCACACGATGAGGCACATGTACGGGGAATTTGTTTTGCTTGTCTGTGATTATTGTTGTTGTTGCTGTTTTTTCTTCTTCTTCCAGTGGATGGGAGATAGAGATAGGGAGAGGAAAAAAATGTTAGATAATTTAAAAAAAAGAAAAAAAAGAAGCCCAATTCTGAGACTAAGGAAGTGATTGTCCTTCCTCACTCTGTCCTGATCAGACCCCATATGGAGGTTGTGTTCAGTGGTGGATGCCACATTTTAGGAAGGACATGGATAAACTGGAAAGGGTCCACAGGAGGGCAGGTTAGTGAAGTCTTAACATGGTGCCAGATGAGGACCAGTTGAAGGAATTGGGGACATTTAGTCTGAAGAAGACTGGGGGTGAGGAACTGGGCATTCTAGTGTCTGCTTGAATTTTAAAGTCAAGTAGAACAAATATATTCCCTCTTCCACATGTTTACTTTTTTCTCTGTTTTTATTCTTGGTTACAAGGAATGATTTAATAGGGAAAAGGGTATATTCAGAAATAAAGGTGATGTAAAATCAAAAGATATCAATAAATTAAAAACATTAAATGTTTCTTATTAAACTGGGACATGCTGGAGAAAGAGCAGTCAAATGCCATCTCTTTGTGGAGGACAGCGGACAAGAGATACAGAAAGTTAGAGGACGAGCTGGTTACGGCCTTCACTGAAATACACTAGGAAGAGAACTAATTTGGAGCTAGAGCACCTGGGTTTGAATTCCAGCTTTACCACTTGACTTTAGCTTTGTAACTTTGGCTGAGTCCCTTGCCCTTTCTGGGTCTCAGTTTCCTCATCCATAAAATGGGGGGTTGGACATGGTGATATTGTCAATTTTGTTAGAGTAGAGAGCCCCTTCAGGTCCAGGTTGGGCTACTGCTGGATGACCTCTGAGATCCTTTCTAATTCTCTGATTCTTTGTGATTCTGGGATCAATATGGTCCTTTCCAGCTCTAGAGGGCCTTGAAGGTCAAGGGAGCACAGAGAGAATTGGGGAGGGAGTGGGGTGTAGGGTTAGCGTCATTGGAATCATGAGGTTATGGGTAAACTTAACATCTAAAGAATGAGTCCCACTGGACCAGGAGGTGGGCAAGGGAATGGGGAGAGATAAGACTGGTATGTGGATGACATAGGGCTGAGCCTGGGGCTAGGCCCAGACCTTGGCCTCTGTGAAGGACTGGAGTGCCCCTGGGAATGGAGAGGAGAAATGTGTTCTGGGCTGCGTGAGTCCTTGAGGCCTGCAGACCTTCAAAATAGCGTCATGGAAGAGCATAGGTGGAGCACTTGGGCCCGTGGGGCGAAGAGAGCGTTTTAGACTTTGTGAGAAATTGTGAGGTCAGACAGACACTTCATTGTACAGTTTCTCAGAAAGTTTAAAATCCTGGGACAGGGAGGTGGTGCAGTGGATAGAGCTCCAGCCCTGGAGTCAGGAGGACCTGAGTTCAAATCCAGCCTCAGACACATAACACTCACTAGCTATGAGACCCTGGTCAAGTCACTTAACCCCCATTGCCTCCAAAATAAAAAGGAAAAACCCACAAAAAAGTTTAAGATACTCCCTTTGCCCTCTTCCCTCACTCCTCAAAACATTGTGTGTATGCATGTATGTATATATATATAATTATATAATCATATATCATATATTATAATATATAATATATGTATGCCTCATTGTGGTTTCTCAAAAAGTTTAAAATTCTCCCTTTGCCCTCTCCCTTCACTCTCCAAACATTTTATATATGTATGTATATACAAAATAATATAGATATATAGTAATATATCACATATTATAATATATATGTGTATGTCTCACCGTACAGTTTCTCATAAACTTTAAAATACTCCCTTAGTCCTCTCTCCTCATCCCTGACATTATATAATGTAATAACATATAATATATTATATAATATGTATACATTATATATTATATGACAATATCATTTATAATATATGTGTGTCTCACTGTACAGTTTCTCATAAACTTTAAAATACTCCCTTAGTCCTCTCTCCTCACCCCTTAGACATTATATATAATATAATAATATATATCTATTCTATAATATGCGTACATTATACGATAATATAATATATATGTGTCTCACTGTACAGTTTCTCATAAACTTTAATATCCTCCCCTCATCTCCCAGACATTATATGTAATGCAATAATATAATATATTATATAATATATATACATAATATATATGTACGTCTGTCTGTCTTGCTATACAGTTTCTCAGAAAGTATAAAACCCTCCCTTAGCCCTCTCTTCTCATCCCCAGACAATTAGTCCCAGGAGGCCCAAGTGTTCTGTCCATGCTCCTACATGACATTGGGGGGGATATATAAGGTCAAATAAATGCCCTGAATCCCAATTGATTGTCTCCTTCTCTTTGGAATGGTCTCAATTTGGTCAGAAAGCTTGTGTCCCTGTAACATCCTTGCCTAGATTTAGAGGGAATGAAGGTGTCAGAGATGGGCTCAAAGATTACTCAGTTTGACCTCATCGTCTTACAGACGAGGCTCAGAGACGGTTCACCTTGAATCACACAGTGCCTCATTTGCCAAGGTGGGATGTGAACCCAGGGAGGTCCCCTGACCCCTAGACTAGGGCATTTGTGCTGAGATTTGTTGCCTGCCTGATGGACCAGAGAAAGGTGGATGGGGCCAAACCCTAGTTGGAACTGGTTGGGTGGGCAAGCCCAGGTCTTGGTATGCTTGCCTGGTGATGGACGCTGACCGTCCCCTCCTCTTTGTGAGGCTGGGTACTAAATCTTAGAGTATGCCACTACACAACCGAGGCTCTCTTACTCCCAGCCTGGCCCAGGCCTTTCCCTGAGGGAGATTTTGAGAAGGGGACCACTGTTCCCATCTCTTCTGGCCACCTGTGACCAGCTTAATGCTTCCAGAACCTTGTCCCCAGTCCCCTGAAGGACTTAAATGCCTTCCTATGCCCTTGGGAATGCCAAGCAGTCTCCAGGGTGAGGGTCTTGATGCCTTTGAGTTTATTGAAGTCACAGCCTAGGGCTGGAGGGGGGAGAGGGCTGTGGTCAGAATCGGGCCTGACCCTTCAGCCCCATGCCCCACCCCAGGCTTTCCAGGAGCGTAGATCCTGACACATCCTATGCGGGTTTGGGTGGTGGCTTTCCAAATAATGACTCCATAGGCTTAGAGGCCCTGGAGTGCAACCTCTTCGTTTTACAGAGGAGGAAACTGAGGCACAGAGAGCCTGCTTGCCCAGGGTCACAAAGCCAGTTAGTGTGGGAGATGGTATTTGAACTCAGGTCTTCCTGACTTGGGTCAAGCATCCTATACACTGGGTTATTTAGCCGCTGGAAGGTGAGGGTGGGAGGCCTCATCTGAGGCCTTCAAAGGGTTTGAGGTGGGGCATGTCCTCAGGCCCAGATGAAGACCTTGGGCTGTCTGAGGTGGAATCATTATCATTAAAAATGGGACCATTACTATTGTGAATAATTAACAATCATCATCTTCATCATCCCAGTTGACCTCCCCTTACTTTGCCCCGGCACCCTCCCCCACCTTCCATGGACATGGCTGCTGGTTTGAGCTTTGATGGGGCTGGTAATAATAACAACTCACATCTCCATAGAACTTTTAAGATTTATAACATGCTTTCCATACATAACTTCATCGGACCCTCACAACAACCCTGTGAGGTAGGCGCTATTTTGACAGGTGAGATAAACCAAAGCTCAGAGTGGTGTGGCTTGCCTGGGGTCATAGAGCTAGCAAGCGTCAGAGGTGAGATTTGAACCCAGGTCTTTCCAACTCCAAGCTCAGCTCTCTAGCGACCACGCCCTGCGTTGTGGAAGTGGGAGCCTCCATGCATCCTCCACCTGCAGAGTCTCTCACCCCAGGAGCTGATGGCGGGGAGGCTCCCAGGGGAAGGCTTTGCCCACGGGGCTGCCTGAAGCTTGCCATTCTTCCTCCTCCTCCTCCTCCACACTTTGCAGGATAGACTTGATCCAGTCCACATAAAGGGCTACTCGGGCGAAGAAGTCTGGAAATCGCTGAGAGGCGCACCCACCTTTGATGAAGGAGTCCACAGCGTGGACCACTCCCTGGCAGATGAGGGGACCCCCAGAATCCCCCTGCAGAGACAGGCAAGGGGTGGTTAGCTGACTTCCCACCTTCCTCACCTTGGAGGACTTTAAAAATGATTGAATCTCCCCTCCCACCTTTTACAGGTGGGGAAAATGAGGCTCATTCAGGGGCTGAGACCTGCCCATGGTCATATACTGAGTCAGTGGCAGAGCTAGGACTGGTCTGCTGAGCCCAGGATACTGGGCTTTGAAGGTAGGTGGCATCCCCTTACCCCAGGCTCTCCATCTTCCATGCTGTGCCTCAGGTGACTGCTCCAATCCTCCACCCCTTGGACACTCCGGCTTCCTGATCTCCAGTGAAGGGAATTAACCCTCAGTTCTGGCTTGCTAGGATCCAGAATTCCTTTCTGTTCCCTAATACAGGCTTTGCTGCTGCTGTCACTGGGTATTGGGCTCTCTGCTGCTACCTTCCCATGGGGCATTGGTGAGTAGGGGATCAGATACGTACGAAACAGATGCCTGCTCGCTGACGGGGTGCCAGCGTACAGATATTATGCCTCCGGCATTCGAAGGTCACCACGGTGACGTTCAGTTCCTGCAGGATGTTGGGGATGGGCAACTGTGTTCCCAATCGCCCCCAGCCCATGGCCAGGCACCGGGTCCCCATCAGCAGTGGCTGGCCCTGTGTTGGGAGTGGAGCCACCTGGACATTGGCATTCAGAGTGGCCGGACGGTCCAGCTGTAGGGATAAAGGGGCCAGACACAGGGCTGGTCAGCATAGGGCAGTGTGGAATCCCACCTAAGCCTCCCTCTCTCATCTCCCAGTTCTAAGCTCTCCCCTGCCGAAATCAGCTTGTCTTTAGCTGTGTGGAGTTTCCACCTCCATATACCACCCCCCCCACACACACACATCGGGTCAGGATCCAGTACAGTCGTCAGATGAAATGCTCCAGTAGACAGGAAGTGCCTTTCTTGTATTCTAGTACTTGTACGTGCTAATTGCACAGTCATAGGTGTGTGCTAATCGTATCAATACAAATAATCGGCATTTAGAGAGAACTTTAACATTTGCAAAGGTTTTTGTGCCAGATATCTCCTGTGATCCTCATAACAACTGTAGATAAGTGCCACAGGTCTTATTATTATTATCATCCATATTTTACAGATGGGGAAACTGAGGCTAAGAGTTTAAGTGATTTGCCCGTGGTTACATGTAACTAGTATGCGTCAGGAGAAGGACACTCCTGAATGCAAATCCAGTACTCTTTCCACTAAATATATTAATTCTTTATCTCGCCCCCACGTGCTAACTGTGTGAACTGCGAAAACTTCGCATGCTCTCATATGAACTTGTTACGTTTGTGCTGTTGTGTGTGTGCTAATTGGATATTGCTAATTGCATATGTGATAATTCATTATGTGTTTGTATATGCAAATTAGGTATGTTTGGGCTTATATGTGGTAATTATACGTAAGCTTCAATCCCAAGTCCGAGTGATGTCATTCAGCCGCTAAGTGCCCAGGTGAATGGATGCATTTCAATCATTAGAAAGTTCTTCTGCAGATGAGGTACATTTCCATTTCCGTAACATGCACCCATTGTTCTGGGTTCTGCCCTCTGAGGCCAAGGGAACCAAGCTCCTTCAGATCCCTGAAGTTAAGTTATCATTGTACCTCCACTGAGCTGGAAGGAATCTTAGAGGCTTTCTAGTTCAATTCCATAGATAGCTATTGATCAGACCAGGATTCAAACCCAGACCCTGGGACGACAGATCCAGTTCACTTTGTACTTACCATCTGGCTTCTCCTAAATACTTTCCACCATCCTTTCATAGATCTTCATATGACATGATCTCTAATCCCCTTTCCATCTTATCAATGGCCCTCCAGAAATAAGAAACCAATTCTCTAGCTATGTCTAGGGTCCCTTAGGTTTTCCTTCTACAGGTCTAGGAGCTAAAGGACCTTCCATTCTATTCTCCCTCTTTCTGTACCCCTGGCCTTGCTGCTGCACCCCAACAATGAGGGAGAAGTGAGCAAGATGGCGGCTTACATTTCCCCTTGCCCATTTCCTTCCCCTTCCTTTCCTTCCTCTCTTACCTGAATGAGTGCGATGTCATTGAGTATGTACTTTTCGTTATAGTCATTTAAATAGATACGCTGGATGCTAAACGTCTGCCAGGAGGGCTCAGGGTTTTTCAGGTCATGGACTCCCGCTACTGCCATCATCAGTTGGAGGTTCCTGGAGTGGGAAGAGAGGAAAAAACGAGAGGAAGAAGGCTTCCAATGGGTACTATTGTGATTATTGTCACACACCTATGGAACTCTAAGGGTTCCTCCGAACCAGGGGAGGGAAGACAATGGGGTTGTTTCCATTTTTTAGATAAGAAAACTGACACTTAGCAAGACTTACCCAAGGTCACACAGCTAGTAATTGGTGGCATCAGAATTCAAGTTGAGTTACCACCAAGCCATGCCAACTACCTTTCTTTCAGTCCCCCATACTGGAAAGCTCAGACTTCTCCCTTCCTCTTGCCTCACTCACAGTTGCAAAATTAGAATGCCCTAATTCAGAAATAGTAAGCTTTTGCATTTTTTTTTATCCTTCATGATTTGTTTTTGTTTTTGGTTTTTTTTTTGCTGGGCAATGGGGTTAAGTGACTTGCCCAGGGTCACACAGCTAGTAAGTGTCAAGTGTCTGAGGTCGAATTTGAGCTCAGGTTCTCCTGACTCCAGGGCCAGTGCTCTATCCACTGTGCCACCTAGCTGCCCCAGTCCTTCATGATTAAGAAGTTTTTATTCCTTGAAATAATCTTAGGTTAGGTAATGGCTCTAAGCCTTGCCCATTGTATCTCCCCAACATCTCTGTTACCACACCTCCCCCATTCCTACCCCCATCTGCAGTCTCTCCAACCTAGCTATTAGAACAGTCGCTTAACTGGTCTCCCTTGCCTCTGGTTATAATCGGTCCAGCACAAGCTGTCAGAGACATCTTCTCAGAGTCTCATTCTGACCACTCCCTTTCCTGGTCAACAAGAGAAAATCTAAACTTTTCAAAAAGTCCCTTATTCCATGAAGCCTTCCTAGATTGCTCTCACCCACACGGAGCTCAGAAAGGGCCTCCTTTCTCATGGAGAGTCAGGACCACATGGTTTGCATTAAATGATCTCTGTCTTCTGTTTGTAGGCCGCTACATCAGGTGGTAGACTAGGAGGTCCCTGAGGGCAGGGGCTGAGTTCCCCCTCCCCCACTTTAGTCCAGACATTCCCGAAGGAAATGAGGCAAAGCTCTCCTCTGAATAGGGGCTCCCTAATTGTAGGAGATTGGACCATCTCTCCCCTGTGCCCACAGGGACCAGAGGACCTCCCCCCTTTCCTACAATTACTCACATTTTGTTGACACAGTGGGCTGCTGTCATCACAAACTGAGGGTGGATCAAGGTTCCCCCACAGATGTGGGACCCTAGAAGCTGTAGGGAGATCATGTAGGGCCGAGAGTGGGGGATGGCAGGTCTGCCACCCACAATCTTGGAGCTAAGGACCAAACCTGGGGGGGGGAACAGTACAGAGAGGGAGAGACGGGTGAGCTCAGTATGCTTGTTCTGGCCTTCGAGGCCCTCTCAGACACTCATCCTTGGAGGGGACTCTCCCAGCCTCCAGTAGTAGAGGGGCCACTATGGCTCAGGTGTCTGAAGATCATCTGAGGCAGACGTGTGGCTTGCAAAGAGACCCGGAGTCAGGGGTCCTGAGCCCCATTTCTGCTACTGGCTAACCCTATGACTGGACAAGTCAATGAAATTCTCTGAGCCTCAGTTTCCTCACCTGTAAAATAGGACTAGTAACCCTTGCATTACCCATCTACCTCAAACAGGTGTCTGTAAACCCCAGATTTCTGGAGAAATAAAACAGGTTAGTTTATTCTCCTTCTCACCTATTCACTGGCATTCTGAATATTCTTTAATATTATTAGGGTCTTATTATTGTTCTCTTAAATTCAATGGTGTTCTTATATTCTTATCAATTAATAGTATTTAGTTATTATTCTCTTCAGTGGAGCTATTGTTTGTATTATTTAATATTATTTTTTTGTTCAGTCGTGTCTGACTCTTCGTGACCCCATTTGGGGTCTTCTTGGCAAAGATACTGGAGTGGTTTGCCATTTCCTTCTCCAGCTCATTTGACACATGAGGAAACTGAGACAAAGAGGGTTAAGTGACTTGCCCTGGGTCTCACAGAGGTAAGTGTCTGAGGACAGATTTGAACTCAGGAAGATGAGTCTTCCTGACTCCAGGGCCCAACACTCTGGGCACTATGGCACCACCTAGCTGCCCATTGTTTAATATTGCTAAGTTCTTATTCTTAATAATATAATAATGTTATTAGGTTATTATTATTATTATTAATGATAATAATACTAAAACCCAGACCTCTGTTCACATCCTCTTCCAATACCCCATTAGGGTAGGGGGGGCTGAGCCCATACTTTAGGCAATCCAACAAGCTAGGGGTGGTTTGAGCCTGGGCCCACTGATGAAACCTGTCTGTCTTTCATCTAAGAACGGGATCACAAACTCAGAAATGCTCAACACCAGCTTGGCTGGGGTGAAGGGTGAGAGGTGGGGGGGTGGGACTGGGGGGGAGGGGGAGGTACATTTTTTTCGACTGTAAGCACTTACCTTCTGACAAGCAGACTGCTCTCACCAGTACAATGAGAAATCCTTACAGTCACCCATTAACAAGATCCCCAACCCCATCCCATTCTTTTTGATGCCGAATGGACCTGTTCTCTCATGTGAGCTTTGGACTTGTAGGCAGGAAGACCTGGGCTCAGATCCCACCTGAGACACTTCGTTAGCTATGTGATCAATGAATCAACAAGTATTTATTAAGTGCCTGCTAGATACCAATCAAATCAATTAACCTCTTTGGGACTTGGTTTCCTCATCTGTAAAATAGGGATAACAATAGTACTTATCTCACAGGGTTGTCGGGAGGGTCAAATGAAATAATGTATGGATGGGGCTTTGAAGATCTTAAAGCACCATGTAAATGTAATCTATCATGATGATGATTATGATATGTTATTATTATATTATTAGTTCATTTATATTTGTATATAAATTTATTAACCAATAATATAACAGCATAATCATCGTATTATGACATATTATATTATAATTAATATATTGTCATCATTATGATGATTATGATGTTAAATTATATCATTAGTTAATGTATTAACCAATATCATAATCATCCTACTATAATGTTATATTATAATTAATATATTGCTATTATCATCATTATGATTATGATCATGATATAGAGTTCCCTGGGTCCTCTTTGCGAGATGCTAGGAAAACCAGGTATCTCTCTCATAAGGTCCCTTTCTGACAAAGGACCACACCCTACCATCTCATCAAGTTGATTAGGGGTGTGTGTTGTTCAGTTGTGTCTGACTCTTTGTGGCCCCATTTGGGGTTTTCTCGGCTAAGATACTGGAGTGGTTTGCCATTTCCTTCTTTAGTTCATTTTACAGTTGAGGAAACTGAGGCAAATGGGTTGAGTGACTTGCCCAGGGTCATACAGGTAGTAAGTGTCTGAGGCCAGATTTGAATTCAGGAAGATGAGCCTTCCTGACTCCAGGCCTGGCACTCCAACCACTGTGCCAGTTGTTATGGCAGAAGGGACAAAAATGATCTGATCTGGAAAGGGCCCTAGGTTTAGAGTCCAGAGGACCTGAGTTCTGGTCTCATCTATGTCGTTTGCTATCTGGGTGTCCTTGGCCAAGACCCTTCATCTCCGAGCCTCAGTTTCCTTGTCTGTAAAATGTAGGGAGGAGGGGAATATGAGACTACAGGAACCTCTAAGTTCCTTTCCCACTCAAAATCTATATCTCTATTTTCCATAACTTGCAATTCTTCCCACACACTCCCCTCTCCCCACTCCATCCTCAGATCCAGACCCCAAAGTCTCTGAATGATGTCCATTAGAGCCCGTGCCAACACATTTCTCCAAAAGGCCCTGAGTATTATTACAGATGTTTTACAGATGAAGAACCCAGAGAGGCTGAGTCATTTGTCCAAGGTACATATTACAGAGGTACTATCTGCCTGAGCTAAGACTTAGACCCAGGTCTCTGAGGGCAAGTAAACTCCCCACAGCCTCAGCAAATCAGAGACAGTGAGCCCAGGACTGCTTCTGGGCCGTTTTCTCTCTCCCCACGATGCGTCAGGTCCCTTCCCAGGCAGAGCCAGGCAGAAAGGTGGCAGAGTACAGAGGGAGGCCATACTTACAGCCCTGGATGGAGGCTAGCAGTGGGAGGAGGGTCCTGAGCAGTAAGGAAGCCATGGTGCGGGAGGTCAGGGGGTGTTGGGGAGAGCCTCGGGGTCTCTGTGCCCCCTCTTTCTGACCGGTCCTCTTATACGCTCTATGGGAAGGCCGTTGGGATTGCTCCACAGATAGATGAGCCCAGACTTTCGCCTACTTCCTCTTGGGCCTCAGTAGGGTAGGAACCAGGAGATGGGAGCAGAGGAGGAGGGAAATAGAGAAGGATGGGGGACGACAGCAGAGACCCTGCACCTTTAGGGAACAGCCTCTGCCTCCACTTGTCACCTCCATCCTAGGGGAGAAGGAGGAGGAGAAAGGCTAAGGCCCCAGAATCACAGGATCTCAAAATCCTAAGGGTCCTCCAAGGCCATTGAAGCCAGCCCCACCTCCCAAAAGCATGCCCTGCACCATCCCCTAGACAAGCGACTCCCCACAGAGCCCGAACTGCCAGTTTGGGGGCCCAGAGCAAGCCCTCTATAAATGGGTGCTCCAATCAATTACTGGGGGGACCCCAATACCAGGCCTGGGGAGAGCCTCAGGATGCCACTAGGCCAAGTTCTGGGCAAGGCTGCCGCCCAGGGAGGAGCAGAGTGAGCCTGGGTATGAAGAAACTGGTGTGTGGCCAGGGGGCTGGGACCTTCCTCATTTAATTACTAGTTACTCTAAATAATAACAACAATAACAACATCTGTATAGTGCTTTAAAGTTTGCAAAGCACTATGTGTGTGCATATCTCTATAGCTATCTATCTGCCTTGTCTATCAATCTATCTATCTATCTATCTATCCATCATCTCATTTGATTCTTATAATAACCCTGGGAGATGAGTACTACTTTTATCCCCATTTTACAAGTGAGGAAACTGAGGCACAGAGAACTTAAGTGACTTGCCCAGGCTCAAACAGCTAGTAAGTAGGGAGTAGTGCTGTTTTAAAGATTACTATCTTTAAAAAAAAAAAATGAATGAATATTCAGGAAGTCTCTCCTCCTAGAGGTTGATATGCAGCCAGCCAACTAAACTTTTAGACAGATTCATTACCAAGACTGGTGGCCCAGACCCCACAACTTTTGCCTCTCTCCTTCCTTAAGGTATTTCTGAAAAGGATTCCTGTTGTAGCTAAATGACTGAGCCAACCTAAGGTAGTGATAGCAGATCAAAATACTAAGGATAGCTTTGCCAGCAAGCAGAAATTTAGAATGTAGCTTCGCAATTTCACTGCCTAATTGAGCAGTAAGAAGACATTCTATATTGGCCTATTTCTTTTTACTAATCTCTGTATTCTGTTCCTATCTTTAAGGAATAGAACATCTTCAATATTCAACTTGTGCTAATATCCTTTGAAAAAAACCACAGCCTCCTCTTTTCTATTTTCAGAAGTAGGTTATCTTCTGAAAAATCTGTTATTTCTTAACATTCAGTTGTCCTTACCCAAATTCTTGAAATTTCTAAACCCTGGGGATAGATAGAATGTGAGTCACTATTGACTGGATTTTCTTCATTTTGTTCTTAGCAAAGTATTATCAAGGTAAGCAAAGGAAATATAAAGAAGGTCAGATTTTCGGAGAGCTGCCACAAGTTTGGGATACTAGAAAAAGGCACATTGATGTACTACTGCCATTTTAGAAAGCTTTGATATGAATTCAAATGATACCTCTGTTACTTCAAGCCAAGAACTTTAAAGCATTGGCTTTTTTAAATTAACTAATTAATTTTTAGTTTTCAACATTCACTTCCATAAGCTTTTGAGTTTTAAATTTTCTCCCCCTCCCTCCCCACCTCCCTTCCCAAGATGGTACACAATCTGATATAGGCTCTACTTATACATTCCTATTAAACATGTTTTCACATTAGTCATGTTGTAAAGAGGAATTAGAACCAATAGGAGGAACCACAAGAAAGAAGAAAGAGAAGAAAAAAAGAGAGTAAATAGTATGCTTAGATCTGCATTCAGACTCCATAGTTCTTTTTCTGGCTGTGGATAGCATTTTCCATCATGAGACCTTTGGAGATGTCTTAGATCTTTGCATTGCTGAGAAGGGTTAAGTCTATCAAAGTCAGTCATAGCACAATGTGGCTGTTACTGTGTACAACATTCTCCTGGTTCTGCTTACTTCACTCAGCATCAGACCATATAAGTCTTTCCAGGTTTTTCTGAAGTCTGCCTGATCATCATTCTTTATAGCACAATAGTATTCCATTACATTCATACACCACAACTTGTTCAGCCATTCCCCAATTGATGAATATCCCCTCAATTTCCAATTTTTTGCCACCACAAAAAGAGCTGCTATGAATATTGTTGCACATGTGGGTCCTTCTCCCATTTGTATGATCTCTTTGGGATACAGCCCTAGAAGTGGTATTGCTGGGTCAAAGGGCATGCACATTTTTATAGCCCTTTGGGCATAGTTCCAAATTGCTCTCCAAAATGGTTGGATCAGTTATCAACTCCACCAACAAAAGCACTGGCTTTAACTGCCACTTAAAAATCTCTGAGTACTGTGTCAATTTGTAAACACTTCAATTATTAAATAAAACAGATATCATTTTAAGACTTCAAATCATAAATGTGCCTCAAAATTATTTTGTGTGTTTGAGTTCATTTTAAAGATATAAAATGTATACTTGTTTAGATATTTTGTTAGCTATGCTTTCCATGTGTGAGTTCTGTGCAATATTTTCATTATGCCCATTATGAAGATAATGACAGAAAAACCCACAGTACTTAAAATTTAGGCATGTAAACATCCTTGCTCAATAAACCAATTCCCTAATAAATAAATAAGTAAATAAACAAACAAACAAATAAATGGGGCAGCTCGGTGGCCCACTGGATAGAGCATTCACCTTGGAGTCAGGAAGACCTGAATTCAAATTTGACTTCAGATACTTGACACATACTAACTAACTGTGTGGTCCTCGGCAAGCCACTCACTTAACCCCAATTGCCTTGCCAAAACAAAACAAACAAAAAACCAACCTGTTACAGAGAAAGGATACATACTGTATTTTTTTTTTCATCAGTTACCTTATATATAAACTTTCTCATGTAACTTTTTAATCAGGTTTGCTAGATGAATGTAAAATCCATATGGCATAAATTTTGTTATTGTAAAAATAAGTCATGAAGTATAGTCATATGAGCTTAAAATTAATCTTCACCTAAAGGAATTTATTTCATATGGTATCTCAACAGCTGCGATCTTTTATGTCAATTCAAGCCTCAACAATCAAGAAAATTGGCACTTCAAAAATCTAGATTATGAGATTCTATAAAGATAACACCTGATAATACATGTATTAAGAAAGAAGAGGGGCAGCTAAGTGGCGCAGTGGATAGAGCCCTGGCCCTGAAGTCAAAAGAACCTGATTTCAAATCTGGCCTCCGACTAAACACTTGACACTCACTAAATGTGTGACCCTGGGCAAGTCACTTAACCCCAATTGCCTAAAAAAAGAAAGAGGAACAAGGTTTGCTGTTTCAGTTTTGGAATCCTAACCTATTCAAATTATTTGACAAATTCTAGTCAAAGGATCAAGTGAATAGAAGATTTCACCTTACAGTATATACCTGTTGACTTCTGTCCAAAATGGTTATGCGATTGAAATGGTTTTACAGCCACACAACTAACTCTTACAGTCAAAATTATACAAGTTAATAACAAGACAAAGAAGGACTAGCCATTAAAGTAGTGACAAAGTCCTTTTCTAAATTGTGGGCTAAAGAAATTTATTCCATAAAACAGCGTAGAATCAGTTTGCTTGTTTAGATGAAGTTTTAAATATGTATGGAATTCCACCACTTCTATTAAGATTAAGATTAAGATGATTGAAATTATCAAATGGTTCCCCAACTGATTAATGGTCAATGGATATGAACAGGCAGTTTTCAGATGAAGAAATTAAAGCTATCCAGTCATGTCAAAAAATTCTGTAAATCACTGTTGATTAGAGAAATGCAAATCAAAACAACTCTGAGGTACCATATCACACCTATCAGATTGGCTAATATGACAGAAAAGGAAAATGACAAATGTTAGAGAATATGTGGGAAAATTGGAACACTAATGCATTGTTGGTGGAGTTGTGAATTGATTCAACCATTCTGGAGAGCAATTTGGAACTATGCCCAAAGGGCTATAAAACTATGCATACACTTTGATCCAGCAATACCACTACTAGGTCTGTATCCCAAAGAGATAATTAAAAAAGGGAAAAGGACCCACATGTACAGAAATATCTATAGCAGCTTTTTTGTGTGGTGGCAAAGAATTGGAAATTAAGGGGATGTCCATCAATTGGGGAATGACTGAACAAGTTGTGGTAGGAGATGATCAGCAGGCAGATTTCAGAAAAACTTGGAAAGACTTACATGAATTGATGCTGAGTGAAGTGAGCAGAACCAGAAGAACATTGTACACAGTAACAGCAACATTGTGCAATGATCCACTTTGATAGACTTAGCTCTTTTCAGCAATACGATGATCTAACAATTTATTGAATCTAAATATCTAAAAATCTAAATAAAAAACAATAAATTGCATCTAAATCTTTATTTGTTCCGTGAAGTTTGGATTCAGTCAAAGGGCCACACTTGAGGACCTAGAGGGCCACATGTGGCCTTGAGCCTACAGGTTCTCCACCCCTGGCAGTTCCAAAAGATTCATGACAGAAAATGCTATCCATATCCAGAGAACTATGGAGTCTGAATGCAGACTGAAGCACATTATTTTCTCCTTTTGTGTGTGTGTGTGTGTGTGTGTTTCTTTCTCATGATTTTTCCCTTTTGTTCTGATTCCAATGTGGAAATATCTTTAATATGATTGTATATGTATAGCCTACATCAGATTGCTTGCCATCTTGGGGAGGAATGAGGGGAGGGGGGGAATTTGGAACTAAAATCTTATAAAAATGAATGCTGAAAAATAAATTTAAAAAAAGAAACTATCAAATGGAAAAAAGAATACTGTCTCAACACATCCACAAATATTAAGTGTGGTACTAAATCAGAGGCTTGCCCCACATGCAA